TATATTGAATTTGAATTGGAGATTGATGCCCATTTTAGGAAGTTCAAACAAAAAAATAGGGGAAAGAAAATCTTCTTAAAATCTTTACTTTTTCTCTCTCCCTAAAATCTCCCATTTTTCTCTATTCTTAAAATATATACTCTACATGCATAAAATATTAGAAAAGGTGGAGATAGGGTAGATATCCTCTTTTCTCTGCTCTCCACACATAAATTTTAGAAAAGAATTGGATAAAAAAATTTCTCCTATTTCTCAATAAGATATGGAAATAATATCTCTCTCTTCCTAAAATCTCTACTTCTTCAATCTTCTTAAAATATATACTCTTGACATATAAAATATTAATAAAAGGTGGAGATCATCTTTTATCTACTCTTCACGAACAAATTTTAGGAAGGAAAAAATTTATATAAGGATGCAACCTTATAATGTAGAACTATGAATGCAACTCAAAAATCTATCGAAAAAAGGTAGTTTTAATGTTGAAAAACCTTTTGATTGGTCATCTCAACATCGAGATATATGACCATAAAAAATAAAAAGATTTTAAGTCTCAAAAATAGTGCATTTTACAACATATTATCTACACCGTCCACTTTCAAGATTTTCATATGTTTATAGATCTACTTGATTTTAACCATTTTTTAAATTTAAATTTTATTATTAGATATAAAAATAGATTTTGAGATAATCTTAAGAACATTTTACATCAAAATTATATACCATGATAAAATTTGAAGGTGCACCTTATGCCTACATCTACATGCATACGTATGCCAACTGCAACCTTTTAGAAAAGGGTTGGATAAAAAAGTTCTCATATTTCTCAATAAGATATGGAAGCAATATTTCTCTCCTCTTAATATCCATACTCTCTCTCCCTCCCTCCTCGAAATCTCTACTCTAAATAAGATATGGAAACAATATCTCTTTCTTCCTAAAATCTCTACTTTCTCTCTCTCTCCCCCTCCTTAAAATGTTTACTCTTTAGTCTCTCTCTCTTCCCCTAAACATGGCGAATATGTCATACAACCTCTTTAACATTAGGGTCCTTTTTTATTTTCCGATATGTGTCCACCCCTTAATTCTTACTTAATAATGTAGTATAGATAAAGATTAAACTTTTTTTGGGAAAAATGTTTCTATAAGGTTGATGCTTTAAAATGTAGAATTAAAGTACACATCAAAAATAAAAGTTGTTTTGATGTTGGAAAAGCATCAAATTGATCATCTAAATATCCAGATGTATAGATATAGAGAAGAAAGGAGATTTCAAGTCCTAAAAATAGTACATTTTGCAACATTTTATCTGGATTGAGTATGTTTAAAATTTTCATGTGTTTATATATGCATTTGTTTGATTTGAACTATTTTTAGAGTTTTCAATTTTACAATTAAAGATAAAAACTAAGAATTTTTAGCACTAAAATTATATATCATAATAAAATTTAGAGGTACACCTTGTTTAAAGTTGTAATTTTATTCAAACCACGTTTTTTTTTTTGTTAGGTTTTTGTGAGTTTGAGCTTGGTCGATGACATATCCCCTAATTTTAAATCTAGGAAAATTATTACAAATATATCTTAATTTTCATTTATTTAGAAAAAAATCCTCAACATTTGTAAACCTCACCCACATCCATTTTCTTCAATTTTGGGAGAAGCACCGTAAAAACTATTGTTATACGACATTTTATATACAGTAAGGAGTAGAAGTATTATTACGGCACTCGAAAGGCCATAATAGACATTTTTGAAACCCTTTTCTTATTTATGGTTATGTTTGTATTTAGCTCTTCTTTTTCTCTAATTTTTTTTATATTTATATCTTCATTCTCTCTAATTCTTTTTAGGGTGTGGTTTTTATAAGGTTGCAACTTTAAACAATCCAATTAAGAAGCACCTCGAAATTTTATCATTACATGTAATTTTGATAAAAGTGGTTATTAAGATTGTCTCAAACTCTATTTTTATATCTAATTATAAAATTTAATACTCTAAAAATGGTTAAAATCAAGTCGATCTATAAGCATATGAAAATCTTGAAAATGGACAGTCTAAATAATATATTGCAATATGCACTATTTTTGGGACGTAAAATCTTTTTTTTCCATATTAATATATCTCGATATCAAGATGATCAATTAAAGGGTTTTTCAATATTAAGACAACCTTTTTCTATAGATTTTTTATGTGCATCTGTAATTCTACATTTTAAGGTTCCAACCTTATATAAAATTTTTCTTTTTTTTTAATATTTATCTCTTCTTTCTCTCTCTAAACCTCCAAGATAGAGAAAGATTTAGAGATAAAAGATTTAGAGAGAGAAAGAAGAGATAAATATTAAAAAAAAATTGGAGAGAACAAAGAGATAAATGTAAAAAGAATTAGAGAGAGAAGAGAGAAATACAAACAAAACCTTTCTCTCTCTAAACCACCAGAGAGAAAGATTTATAGAGAAAAGATTTAAAAAGATAAAGAAGAGATAAATATTAAAAAGAATTAAGAGAAAAAAGAGATAAATATAAAAAGAATTAAAGAGATAAAGAAGAGATCAATACAAATACAAACGTAAAAGAGAAAAAGGTTTTGGATAGGGTTTATAGGTGTGATATTATTACGGCATTTCAAATGTGGTAATAACACTTCAACTAATTATGTAATAATACTAATACTTCAACTCTTTACCGTATATAAAATACCGTATAACATGGGTTAGTTCCCAAAATTGAAAAAAAAAAGTGCGGCCAAGGTTTATTTAACTCCTTACTGTATATAAAATGTCATATACCATGGGTTAGTTAGTTCTCAAAATTGAAGAAAAAGAGTGTGGACGAGGTTGATGGAAGTTTATTAATTTTTTTTACTAAATAGATAGTGCGGGTGAGGTTTATGAAAATTGAAAGGTTATTTATTTATTTATTTAAATAAATAGTGTGGGCAAGGTTTATGAAAATTGAAGGGTTATTTATTTATTTATTATAGAGACGAAATTGAACATATATTTATGATAAGGGTGCAGTTGACATACAGATGCATTCGTAGGTTTAGAGGTAAGGTGCACCTTCAAATTTTATCATGGTATATAATTTTGATGGAAAATTTTCTTAGGATTATCTCAAAATCTATTTTTATATCTAATTATAAATTTTTAAATTAAAAAAATGCTTAAAATCAAGTAGATCTATAAACATACGAAAATCTGGAAAATGGACGGTGTAGATAATATGTTGTAAAATACACTATTTCTAATACATAAAATCTTTTTATTTTTCATGATTATACATCTCGATGTCAAGATGAGCAATCAAAGGGTTTTTCAACATTAAAACTACTTTTTCCGATGGATTTTTGAGGTGCATCCGTAGTTCTACATTATAAGGTTGCATCCTTGTAAAAACTTTTGGGAAAATATGTCCATACCTTCCTGTTTTAAGTTTTATATATCAATAGACCAAAGGTTCAAAACATATATTGAGTTTTAAAAATTTAAAATTTTGTACCTTTTAACCTCTTAAGCCAACTTCATTCTTTTTTAATTTTTTTTTTTGCTCCAAACAAATATAAAATAGACATATTTTTTTTAAACACCTTCCTTTCTATCTCTTTACATAATTTTTCTCTAAATCTCTCTCTATCTATTTTTCCACTCTTTCTCCCCATATGTCTCTCAGTCTGTCTCTCCCATTAGAGACATAGAGGGTCAATGTTAAAAAAAGAAATTTGGGAGAATGTATCACGTAAAGATGAAGGGTTCAGAACGAGCATATTTTTTTAAAGGGTAAAAAATAAATAAAAAATGGGTAAAGATAATGTGGAGGTCAGGAGATATATTATGAATCGATTGAGATACGAAAACAAAAAAATAGGGGGTCCCTAAAATCATTGCATTGACCTTGTTGTGTCTGTACTTTTTGTTTGTGCTTGCTCGTTCTGTGCATTACAAGTTCTTTCTCTCTCTCTTTCCCCGCTTAAGTTGGTTGAAGAACCTGCCAAACCGATTAATACTTTTTATTGACTCTAAACAACGACAGCGACAACAAAATATTCCTTTTCATCATCGGGCGGATCTCTATGAATCCGCCCAAAACCTCGACATGGAACTCAGCTTCACGACTCTTCCTTCTTCGCTGAACCCCCTATTCCGCATTTATCTCTCTAAGAAACTGGAAGTACTCTTCTACATCTCTCCTCTTCCCTGTCATTTATTTCATGGATTTATCTCTCTCTCCCTTCCACTTTGTGACACTAGATCAAACCCAAGTCAGATCATGTCTCTTTTATCCTCCTAAGAACAATCAAAGTAACTTTTTTGAGTATGGGTTTTCTGTAAAAAATGGAAGAACGATGGCTTCATTCTTTGCAGTACCTTTCTCCTATGGAAAAGGTTTACCGCCCAAACCTGAGCCCAATTGTCGGACTGTTTTTACCAAATCTCGAATTGAAGATAGACCCATTATCGGAGAACCAGATTTAGGCATCATCATAGGGAAGCTGGTTTTAATGGGGAAGTTTAAGGAAGCCCTTGAATTTTTTGAAATTCTTGAATCTCGAGAAGAACCCATGGATATGAGTACTTGCGATTCACTTGTGAACGCTTGCATAGCTTTAAAATCGAGCACTGGGGCTAAAAGGGTATTCTATTACTTGATACAAAGAGGGTTCTCCTCAGATTTGTATATCAATAACAGGGTTCTGCTGATGCTTTTAAAGTGTGGGTTGATATCGGATGCAGACCGATGGTTTGATGAAATGCCTGAGAGAAACGTGGTCTCCTGGAGTATAATGGTAAATGGGGCCTCTAATTTAGGCTTCTACAAAGAAGCTTTGGGTCTTTTTGTGAAAATTTGGGAGGAATTAACGGATGGAGATTCTCGCATTTTTGCAGCTGCTATTCGAGCTTGTGCAGGGTTAGCGGTGGCATCATATGGCATGCAACTCCATGCGTGTACGGTTAAGATGAGTTTGGAGACAGAAATTTTCATTTCTTGTGCCCTTGTGGACATGTATAGCAAATGTGGGATCATTGAAGATGCTCGCATGGTTTTTGATCTGATGCCTGAGAAGAATGTGGTGGGGTGGAATTCAATGATAGCTGGCTATGCGCTAAACGGTTACAGTGAGGAAGCAATGGATTTGTATTATGAAATGCAACGGGCCAGTGTGAAGATGGATCAATTCACTTATTCATGTACCATTAGGGTTTGCGCTCGTTTAGCCTTGCTAGAGCATGCCAAACAGGCTCATGCTGGGCTCGTGCGTAATGGTTTTGGGTTAGACACAGTGGCTAACACTGCTTTAGTGGATTTTTATAGTCGATGGGGTCGAATCGAAGATGCTCGCAGAGTTTTTGACAAGATGATCAAACCCAATGTCATCTCTTGGAATGCCATGATAGCAGGTTATGGCAACCATGGCATGGGAATGGAAGCCATCGAGTTATTTAAACAGATGCTTTCGAAAGGAATGAAACCCAACCATGTCACATTTCTAGCGGTTTTATCAGCGTGTAGTTATTCGGGGCTTTCTGATCAAGGGTGGCACTATTTTGAATCTATGAGTCGGGATCATAAGATCAAGCCTAGGGCTATGCACTATGCTTGCATGATTGAATTGCTTGGTCGAGAGGGCCTTTTGGATCAAGCTTTCTCTTTGATTAGAGATGCCCCTTTCAAGCCAACAGAGAACATGTGGGCAGCATTGCTTACTGCCTCTCGAGTCCATAAGAACTTTGAGCTTGGTAGGTTTGCAGCTGAAAGGCTTATAGGAATGGAACCCGAGAAGCTGGCAAATTACATTGTGCTCTTGAATATTTACAATGCTTCAGGGAGAGAGGATGATGTCACAAAGGTTAGGCAGGCCTTACTGAGGAGGGGTCTAAGACTGCTTCCTGCTTTTAGTTGGATTAATATAAAGAAACGGTCACATGGGTTCCTTTTTGGTGACAAATCTCATCCCCAAACCAGTGATATTTATAAAAAATTGGATGAAATGATGAAGGAAATTGTGAATTACGGGTATGTTCCCCCAGTGCGATCCTTGCTTCCTGATGTGCTAGAGGAGGAAGATCAGTTGGTGGTTTATCATAGTGAGAAGCTAGCTGTTGCATTCGGGCTTATAAGCACCCCTGAATTCACTTCTCTTCAGGTTGTGCAAGGCCATCGTATTTGTGGGGATTGTCATGCTACGCTGAAGCTTATTGCCTTTGTCACTAGAAGGGAAATTGTCGTTAGGGACGCTGGAAAATTTCACCATTTTAAACGTGCTAAATGTTCTTGTGGGGATTATTGGTGATTGTTGAGACTAATATATACTGATGGCCAGTTTTCTGTCAGCTTTGAGTTGGCCTTATATCCCTTCTTCAACAAAGTAACATCGGTAGTCTTTAGGAATCAAGAGGGTCTACTTTTCATGTTGTTCCACCATTCTTTATTCTTTTCTTATATGCTGCAGCACTCGTCTGTGTATGTGGTTCACTTAATAACGCAAAGAGGTTACTTTGAATTGTTGGATTTGTGGTGGGGGGAACTGATGACTACAGATCTGCAATGTTGGATGGGAAACTATATACTACGAGTTATATAACGATGGAAAATGCACGTCCTAAGATCGTCTGAGCATTGAGTTGGTTGTGACTCAGAGAGTGTGGGACCCACTAGAATTTGGCACGACACACAAGCGTCATCATCGTCCGATTTTCCATATCACTGTCGACCCACGGATTAGAAACATTAGAGGTGAGTCACTAACTTAAATTCCGCTACTAATATTCTGGGTCGAAATTGATGTTTAATCATCTACCATTGAGTGTAACGTGGATGAATATAAAAAGCACAAACTCTTCCTAATTCTAATTAGCAGGTGGTAGCGTACAATTCCTTTTGCATTGTGGCAAGCAGTCAAGCACCATTTATTCTCTACAACAGCTTTTAAATTTGCGGTTGGCTTTGATCTACTAACTGAAATCAGTATCATGTTATAATAATAACATTAAAATAGCCATAGCCAAATGAAATCTACGATGGTTATGGCTTCTTGTTCTTGTTACAAATGTCAATTTGTTAAATTGCCTAATTGAGGCCCAAGTCCTCATTTCTCAAGTGGCACCAGTTCTTCCTGCAATATTTTCAATTTTGGGAGACCACGTAAACATCCTATTTTACCTTTCCTTCTTCCCGATTATTCTTTAATGTTTTCTTTTGATTCTTACTTATTTTCTTGAGTTTCTTGAAAAACAATTTTCCAATATAAAGGATCAACATAATAAAATCTTTGAACACGTACATAGATTCATGAACTATATGCAAAAGGGTTACTACTGTGCCATGAACCTATTCAGTTTATATATGTGGAGTTTTGTATGTGTGAGAACAATGGCTGCGTAAAATAGGACTCTTTGGATTTTGGATAAAACCTGATAAGCAATATTCTGACAGGCCAAATTTATTCCTCTAAACCCTAACGCTAAATCCAGTTAAGCAAATCCCAAACCTAGTCCTAGGCCCCTCAATTTGGGCATAAGACCACACTCAATTTTAGGGTCGGTCGCTTAGTTTCATTATATAAACAGTTTGGAACCTACCGTGGTGCCGTCGAGTGCATAAGACCACACCCTAAAGGCTATTTTGACAGCACGAAACAACACAGAGGGCTCTTCGGATGAGTTCGGGGCAGTGCCCTGCATTGAGTTCTGGTGGCCTTAGCATCGGTCCAGGGGCCTTGTTCTGCTTCCAGGTCCGAATTTGCTCTTTGTTTCAGAAATTGTATCTTCTCTTCATACTCCCTTTGCTCTATACAGGCACGACTGACTCTGTTACCTCATTGCAAGTGTGGCAACCTAAAAGCTTCTACTTCGGGCTACCCCTAACCTCTGGATCCAGTGTGCTTGAGTCTTAAGGCATTCTACAAACTATTTTGGTAGCCTGAGATACCTGCTGGCTAGTTTAGTTCAATAAAATATTTGCTTATTCTTATGTGCTTGTCACAAATTTGTACCCACTTTACTCGATACTCCTTTGCACACTTGTGCATATATCGACTAGGAATCCTGGAAAACAATTTTATATTTTTTTGAAAAACCCCCAAAATCGGTTTTAAAATCGTGAGGGGCAACTAGCTTCTATGAATTGGGATAGTTGGGAGTTGTACAACCTTGAGGTGATAACTCCTCCATAATTCTCAGCCTTAAGAGCACCCCACAATAATAGGAGTTCTCCCTTAAGTGATAAGCTTAGACCCATGTGGGTGTACTGTGAACAGAGCTGCATCATAGCATTTTCAATATCTAGGACCCACCTATCAACTTTGACATATAGAACTTGGGGTAAAAGCTAGTTCAAACAATTTTGTTGGTGGTTGCTTAGACTAGACTAGGCTAGATTAGCTTAGCTCAAACTTCCATGTGCAATAACCGAACTCGAGCAAGGTCCCACTCATGCACCAAGTCCATGTCTTCATCTTCGTCTCAGTCTACAGCATTGAACCTTCAATCCAAGGGGCATCATGCCTCTCGGACCCATAACACCATAGTAGGGGAGTCGGATCTCCGCATACATGGATTACAATTAAACATCTCCAAGTCCGGCTTTCCTTGGGTACTACTTAGGAACTATTGACGACCATATTAACATGGTCCGAGACACTTTAAATAGTCAACAAATGAGACCAAGAACGCTCCTTCTGGACAATAGAAAACCATCCCTGTTTGTTTAGTCAACCCAAGGTGGGACCCTCGAGCAACCTCCAAACAGCTGGCTCTAGCCGAGTTAATTCCAGTGCTCAAGCACCGTCCAACCGCCCATACCCAAGGTTCTCCAATCCGAGTAGAGCATTTAACCAGGGATCCAGTTTGAGTCATCTGCGTTCATTCCAAGGAGACCTAGACCTAGTAAACCAAAAACCCATCACAAATTTCTAGGTCCTCCCATCAAATCTCCAACCAGCACCAGTACCCATTGAGGCCAATCTCATTAAACATCCAATTGGCATTGTGACCATGGGAGCAATCTCATTGCACCCCTCGCCGTAATAGTTGTCATGGGGCAAGGTCTTGAATATCTAATGAGCATCCTATCCTGCAAGCCATTCTTAATAGCTTAAAAGAAAAATATCTCCATACTTTTTTTTTTTTTAAGTTTTATATATCAATAGACCCAAAGTTTCAAAACATATCTTGAGTCATAAAAATTTTAAGTTTTATATCTTTTAACCTCTTAAGCTAATTTTATCCCTTTTAAACCTAGTTTTTTGTTCCAAACAAATATAAGAAAAACATATCCTTTATAAACTCCATCATTTCTCTCTCTTCACGTGATTTTCCTCTAAATATCACTCTCTACCTATTTTTTCACTCTCTTTCCCCCCGTGTCTCTTACTCTCTTGCTCCCCCGTCAGAGAGACAAAGAGGATGAATATTAAATAGAGAGAAATTTGGGAGGAATATATCACATAAAGAGAGGAAGGGTTTAGAATGAGCATGTCTTTTTTATATTTGTTAGGGCTAAAAAAATATTTAAAGTGGGTAAAGTTAATTAGGGGGTTAGGAGATATAATTTGAATCTTTGGGTCTATTGAGATATGAAAACAAAAAATAAGGGGTACGAGGACCAGTTGCTTTAACCCAATCTCCATGCTAGCCAACAACTGTCATGACTGGCCTAATCAATTCCCAAATTCCAACCCATGAGTGAACTCAGTCAGACGGTCCATCAAACATAAAGAATGCAATACACACCCTAAACTCAACCATGCCAATCCATGGCAGGCAACCACTCTACTGGACAAGTCACTCTAGTGCCGACGACCAAGTTAGCCAAGATGGATGAAAACATGAAAGGCCTTGAAGGCACACCAGAGAGAATGAAAACTCAGTACTTTTGAACTCCCATGGACTGGACAAGTCCCTCTAGTGCCGACGTCCAAGTTAGCCGAGATGGATGAAACCATGAAAGGCCTTCAAGGCAGACTAGAGAGAATGAAGATCCTGTACTTTTAAACTCCCGTGGACTTTGTAGATGAAACCTTAAGAAATCTTGAAGATTTACCAATGGGTTTCACAATGCTGGAATTTGGGAACAAACTCTTTAGAAAAGGAAACCTAGACACACATACCCAGGCCTAGCTTTCTGTGTTGGCTTTGCGATACAGGCCTAATCGCCGTAAGGCAATATTCCAATACACCCTCTTAGGTAAACATCTCATGTGGCATAAAGGGGTAATGAAAACTCACCTTGACTTGACCCCTGATGAGATGATTCGATGGTTTGTCAAATATTATCATGGGGTAAGACTAAGGTCAATTCTCTATGGGAATTAACATCCTTGAGGCAAGAAGCTAGCAAAGCGTTTACTAAATATGTCGACCAGTTCAAAGAGACCGCTTTTTTGGGGTCATTGAGTGTCCACCCTTGGACCCCACAAAGATTATTCTATTTATTAAAAACCCAACTCCCGAGTACAAAGCCTTCTTCAGTCAATAGAACATGCCATTCTCATTTGACTCTATGATGGAGAAAGTTATGGTCTGTGAAAAGGAGCTCGCAATTGGCATCAAACCTGATGAAGATCACAAACTAGCTGCATCCCCACAACAACATGACATGGTAGACCAATTTGAAGCCAATGAGCCAAGAAAGCCTCCCTCATGTACATGGCGAGAGCATAGTAGTACACCTCGAGGATTCATGCTAATTTATGAGTCAAATGAGTACTGTTCCTAACGAACTACTCAAATGTAACATTATTAAGCTGCCTATGGCCCGGATTCCTCCACTTCCCTACGAGGATAAATCCAAGTGGTATATGTGGCATAGAAATCATGTTCATGACACTGAGAAATGCCCTTCTCCTAGGCATAAAATTCACTATCTACTTAATGAAGGCATTTTGAAATCTAAGAAGAGGAGTGACCCTGTTAAAATGGAAGCTCAATTCATGACCAAACACAACCCAATTTGGCCCTGCGACATGGGAACAGCCTGATATGAGAATTCCTCAAGAAAAGACTGAACTAAGCATTGGCCCGACCAAACCTAGGCGGCTGTGGAACCTAAAGACTGCTTTGTCAAGGATTTCCTTAGCCTCGAGTCTATCATGCAAGAAGAAGCTAAAGAACATGGGGAGCTCATGTGGCATTGAAGGAAATGGATTCGCAAGAAGAATGCAATGTCCTCATGGTAAAAGATAATTCATGAGCAGTGAATCCAAGCCCATTTAGATTGCCAAAAATGGACACTCATTTTCCATATACTCAAGTAATCCAAGAAGGAGGACCTCATGGAAATTCTGAGGGATCCACCTGGACCTCCGTCACTAGTTTTCCTAACAAACCCACCTAAGTGAGATGAAGAGCCAAAACCAGAGGGACATCTCGAGCTACCCTCTCAGGTCAACTCAATGCTTTAATTGCTTAAGCTAAATGGACAATCAAACTCAGAAGACCTCAAGAAGTCATGTTCACATCAGAGTGATCCATCCAATCGAACCTCTGTTTTAAGTCAAATATA